ATGGAAACACTTCGTTCCTATTTTAGGTCTGAAGAAAAACACCCATTGCAAAACCCCATGATATCAACAGAAAGAAATTGATTTCAGCAAGCTTCATGATGTGAAGCTTTCGGAGCTACTGCTGCTCAGACACATTGCTAACTTCCAGCTCAGGTTTAAGCCTTACACTTTCAGCAGTCCTGAAAATTCATAAAGTTTTGCCCTGGTGACTGTAGCATGCTCAGAAGTGCTCACAGAAATGTACGTGCTGCCAATTTATCCATTTGGAGTTGATGTGTTTTTTAGCATCCCGATGTTTTGTAGTTAGGTAATTGGGGATCGAGCTGCTGACAGCTCTGCTGGTGCTGGGCAGTGCATAGCCCCACAGACAAGCATCCCAAATTCAGACTATCTGAGAAGTGCGATGCTCTCTCCTGAACTTCGTCCTCACTCGAGAGGACAAAACATGAGATTGCTTATTAAAACATGTTTTAACCTCAAAACTTCAGCATGAATTAAAAAGTGAAATAGCATGTCTTCCAAATAGTTTTCCAACAGGTACACTCTTTTATTCTTTCACATTCTGTTAAAATATGGTTTATTTTTAAGAAAGGGACTGCATACCCATAAAGTATTTTAAATACTATTAGCTGATATAACATAACTGGTGAGTAAACAGACATCAAAGGGCTGGTTAGAGAGTTTTCACAAAAGATCTTCCATTAAAGGAAATAATTGGAATCAAAACATTTTATGAAATCCTAACAGCTTCTATTAAACTTATTAGAAGAAAGTCTGGAAGGGCCCCTTGGGTTCAGAGGGCAAATTTTGGTCACAGATGGGAAGGGAAATCAGAAACTTCAGAAAATAACATTCTATTCAGAAAATAACTTTCACTTCAGAAAATAACCTGGCCTGGTATATTTTCATCCCAAGCAACCATGTGTCTACCTCCTTCTCTTTCAGATTTTACAAAGATGTCAAAAAGTCTTATTTTCATCACAGTGCAAAATATCTTGGCATCTCAAAAAGGTTTTGGAAATGGAAAAATCATTTCCCACTCATTTCTATTGAGAAATTTAAATTCCAGGTAAAATCAGGGTGAACAGGGGGTAGGCACCGTACTGGGATTTATGAAATGCCTGCCAAGTAGCCTGCTTTTAATGCACACCAGAGAGTAGCATTCCTTGCTAAGAAGACCTAATCAGCATCGTGCATTTTTTAAAATTTGCTCAAAGGCTTATGTTTTTAAAATGACCCTTCCACCTACTCCATTAATTACAAACTCCAGTATAAAACAGACTTTTCTATGGCCTCACTGTGAAAGCTGCAGATTAGGAGCTAACCTTGTTTCAGGCCCATGCATAAATTAAACAGCATGTGCTCCAAGTGCACATCATTTCAAAAACGTGTTCTATGAAACGTCTCATATTTAGAGCTTATAATGCATACAAAAGGGGAGTTTAAAGATGGAGACGGAACGTTACATGGATTTTATATAAAAGAGATGCTAAAAGATTAACAGCAGCATCCATTTTTAAACTACAGTTCTTTACCGCAGCAAGAATTTTAATGCTATATGCCAAAGTTTCCAAAATTAACAGGTGCTTTTGGATACCCCACCTGGGGCATGTCGAGATGCTGATTTTTAGAAATTCACTAACAATGTGCCTCAATTTTGGCAAGAAAGGCCGAGGCAAACAAAATCACAAGTGATCCCCAAAATAACTTGGCCCCAATTTCCTTCTGGATGTTGACATTCAGCCAAACTTTTTTTCTCACAAGAAAAAATAACCGCCACCAAAGTTTGTCTTGCAAATAACAATCAAGTGCTGAAAGGTTCCTCAGGTCCCAAATGGAACTGCTGAAACACATTTCTGAAACAAAGAGAGGGAAAAAAAATCCCAGAGAACTGTTCTACCAGGGAACGAGCTTGTTCTGCTCACCAGTTCTCGTGTAAAAGCTCGGTGCCACAGTTCTTGGAGTGACAACCTCAGCAGGACCAACAGAAAAAATCCAAGTCAAGAGCAAGGTTTGGAACACAGCAGAATAGCAGGGATAAAAACATCTAGTTCAGGAGAAGAAACTCAAAACAAAGAGTTGGGAGCTAAGAATGAAAAAGCAACAGCCAGCTGCCACATTCTAAAACCTTCCTCCCCTCCCCTGAAATCACAACTGCTCTACTGGGTAATGCTATCTTTTTACACGGGTCTTATGCAGTACCTTGCCCACATAAAGCTAACTATTGCCTTTTAGTCTTCTGCAGTTCGAAGACAGTAACTTCCTACCCCAGCCCTGTGGAACAGCTGCACGGCGCTCCACGGTGTTCTCTTCTGGGGAGATCACAAAACCAGATTTATACTCATGGCAGTCCAACTCGGATTCAGAAGTAATACCAGAACTTTAGCTTCTGGAACTAAAGACTCCTAAAACGTATTTTCAGGAGTGATGGTTTGACAAAAAGATCCTTGAAGTCCATGGAGAACTCTTGCTCTTTTTAATAGCACTGGGCTTAAATGAAAGCCACCCACAGTCGTTCAACAGGTAGAAGGAAAAATCAGCCTTTGAAAGCCTGGGAGCTCTCTAAAATCAGTGAGTAACGACATAGTTAACACTGGTCTTGTGAAATGCAATAGACATAAAGGGGATTATAATCCCGAAAAAGGAGAATTTATACCCATTGAAAAGCGTTGAATAAAGTAATGTTATGATGAAAAACTTTATGGCCTGCTCAATGGCAGGAAATACTCATTTTCTTGTTAAAGAAAAGATAACCGTCAGGGAAAACATGCATTAGGCAGGGCAGGCTAGTAAATCTCCCCATTACAGAATGAGAGCCCCGAGTACTGCATGTGCTGTGCAAGCAAGTAGTGGCACCGGGGTATTGCTTCAGCGAGGGGCGGTTGCCACCTGTGCTGAAAAGCTGATTAAGGATCATCTCCTTCACAGGGGCCCCCCGGCCTCCTCTCCTTTCCGTGACTGCTGTGGGGCTGAAATGTGCCCGTGGCTTTTCCCCAGGGACGGTACAGCCTAGGGGTAGAGCAGATTGCACGAGAGCTCTCAGTGAAAAGCAGCTTTAAACTTCGCCCGGCAGTGCTGTAGAGAGGTGTATTCCTCCTGCTTCCAGGCTCTGCCCACAGCCAGCACGCCTTGCTGCCTCCGAAAACTGTTCTCCTCGTGCTTCAGCCTGCTCCTCATGGAAGTACAAGTAGGGAGCAGACACCTGCCAACACAATCCTGCACCTTGAGGCAGATGCAGCACCACCAGCAACCTGAAGAGTAAGTGCCATGAGCAGAAATAAATCAGACCACAGTTTCAAGGAGAAAAACTAACCCCAGATCAGGTCTGACCATGCTGTATTTTAGCTACAAAGAGGAGATACAAACCAACCCAAATTAGCACTGTGATTACTTAAACGGAGTTCTCGCTCTCCATAGATCTAACTGCAAACTCCCTGCATTTCTTGTCTCCCTTTCTGATCTGATCTTTAAAATGATGCACGGCGAGGGGAAGGTGGGAGGGGGTGCCTCTAAGCCGCATCATGTGCTTTATGGAGGCGAGCCAAGCAGCTACTTAGGCAACCATTAGGTCGGGAAACAATCGCTTCCATCATTCCCAACACGTGTGTCAACATAATTCCATGCTCTCTTTGTCATGCAAAAAGTCTTGGCAAAGCGACCGGATACACCCAGAAAGCAGGAGCAAACTAAGCTCATTATGTTAACCCGGAGATCCCACAGCATCCTCCGGTGCCACAGAAGGAGACTTCCCATTTTTTGCCATGTAGGAAAGGAAATTTGCTGCGCTGAGAAGGGCCGGAGCCAAGCCTGACTTCAGAAGTGTGTAAGGAAATTCACGACTGGGTTTCGTGGAAAGGGGACCCCTCATCTGACAAGCACAAGAGGCTGTGTCAGGCAGTGTGATCGCAGGCGTTGCGGAAGGTACGGCATCTTGCATAACTACAGAGACTTCCCTCTCCTGTGTGCTCGCTGGAATCCTTCCAGTCATGCTAATACAGCTCTGCAAAGGAAAACTCCTGCCAAATGGGAGTATCAGCTTCTCTAACTCTTTATTGTTGTCATTGGTAACTCCGGACTTTGTTTTCCTTTTAAAGGAAGATTCAATGCATTTTACAACCATTAAACATCTTTTCTTCTCTCCATCTATACTTGTACCCCCTACTAACAGCACAAGGCTTGTGCACATGGGAATAGCTGGCACTACTGGCCTAATGGCTTCTTTACATAGCCAGGCAGAGCAAGAAGACCCTTCCTTCTGTCTGAAAAATGCTGAATACATCCTCGGTGCTCTAGCAACTACAGAACATAGGAAATTTCCCAGAGCACAGGTATTTATTAATTTAAAGATTGGAGTTTTCATCAACCATATTTGCTGCACCTTTCAATTCCAGATTCAGTGCAGTGGGAGGCAAGTCCTAATACTGCTAGACATTTGCAAACCCCTTCAGACTTCAGCTGCTTTGCCTCTGCTCTGCCACAGTTAACATATATTTTGCTGCCCATTTTGTCTGGTGAGTGCTTGCAAGTCCAACCCTGGTTTTAGCAACGCATTCAGCAAAACACAGCTTCTCAGCAGTCCATGGTCACAAGGGCTGACATAGACTCAAAATGGGGATGTACAAGAATAGTAAAAGCTTTTCCTATGTGTTGTCAACATCTCCTCTAATGAAGCAGGATTGCTATTGATTGTTGAGTTTAAGCCTGTATCAGTTACACTACCTGCTTTGTTCCTTTAAGATGCCATATTTTTGGCACATCCTCTTACCACCCAAACTCTCAAGAAGCAAGAGCAGAGAGCGCTGTCCAAATGGGCAAGTGTACAAGAACCTTCCCCCAGCATCATCGCAGGAGTGGAAATAAGCATTAGGTTCTGACTTTGTCCTCTCCCTGCTCCACCACTCTGCAAATTTACTCTCTACAGGCTTCTGAAAACACACATCTAATACTACAGAACATTGTTAACAAGTCAAATAAAACAAAAGAGTAAAAAGTGAACATACCTGAATGAGAGAAACGTTGTGTAGACTAAGTCTGAAGAGGTAGTTCCTGCATGAGCAAGCAGAAGAAAGACAAATCGTTAGGCTATCAAAAGAAGGAAGGGAGAAGTTATAAATGCAAGTAATAGTTTTGGTTATCCATTTCTATGGACAACGAAGGCCTGTTGGATTTCTCTCCAAAGAATGTAAAAATAATAACATGTCCCTTGTTCATTTGTCTTAGCAAGCCTTATAGCAAAGCTCTGAGCAGGGCTGGAGTAAAATACTCCAAACCTCGTAATGGAGGCCCACACTGAAATCCCAACAGAACAGGGTCTATTTCAAGACCCTCACAGGACTTTGGTCGAAGCCCTGTAAGGGCTGTGTTCATGTTTTTATTTCTGCTGACTGAGAAAGCTGGGGTTGGATACAAGCCAGCTGGAGCAAAGCTACCTCCTGCAGTACACTCCCCCCAAGTCTATCCTTGCAGATGGACTTGGTGCAAAAGGAGGAGGAGAGGAGAGGTACTTCTCAGCAGAACCTCTCTGCACGGAAAACCAGCAGGGAAATCAAGGCAGTGACTGCAGATACTCCCAATCCTCCTGTCATCACATCTTCAAAGGCAGAGCAAGGGAATTCCTGACAGAAGTCACTGTAGCATGAGATACAACACAGCAGCTGAGCTGCAGCCCTCCCTCTGCATGTTCCTATCCCAACACAAACAGGAGGGAAGGCACATTTGCATCAACATCTATGGAAGAGTCTTAGTTAACAGGTTTTACCTCACATTTTTGCTTGCTAAGACAATGCAGTTACCAGCAATCAGCTGACATGTATTAAGCCATATGGACTTGATTGTGTGCTTGAGGCTTTTGGCCATACCTAGCTTCATATTTTTGCATCCCATCTGTCATCTTCATCGGTGTGAAGAGCTGTGATCCTTTTCCAACATCCCTGTCACCGCAACCTCCCAGAGAAGACATATTTATATTGCACCAGGTGAACAATGGTTTTGTGGTGGCTCTGTTTAAGCAGCAGAAAGTGCAGCTTTGGTGGCAGAGCTTCATCCACCCTACAAGTGCTAGTCTAGGGACATTCCCCTACCTACCAAAAATGCAAGTGCAATGTCAGTGAGGTCAAGAAGTCAATGGAAGTTGACTTCTGGTCTTATAGTGATGAAAAGGTCCTAAGGATTCTTCTGAAGAGCCTTGATTAGAGTCTGTAGTCAGCAGCACATTCTGCCCAAGCAAAGAAAGTTACTGAAACTTCCACACATGAGAAATCCATATGGGGTCACAATGACCACTAAGAGGCTTGAGCAGTTTTTCCTTTTCCTGTTGTCTCTCACCTGAATATCATGGAAGTCATAATCACTGAGTTTCTGTATATTTTGTCCCAGTTCTGTAAATAAATGAAAGGATCTCAACCACTGCAGATTGTCAATGAAGATGGGTGGGGACAAGGATGATGAGGGACTGTGGAAGTCAAACTCTTGGTACCAGATCTTCAGCCAGTGTAGCTCGAAGTTGCACCACCTCTGTCCTATTCTCTACTGGGACTGCTTATCCAGGGAAGAATGAGTCCCATTAGCAATATCTGAACAAAATGTATCCGTAATTATTACACCTCCTGTAAGTATGCAGAGAAACACACACACAAAACCTCCATCTTCTGTCCTAGTCCGATCACCAGCAGCTCTTTCATATTCTGAAACCTTACTCTGTCTCTAAGGACTGCACACTTTCCCAGGTAATTTGTTATTAACTCTCTGGCTACAGACTTAAATATTATGCCCTGCAGATGCATGCAGCTGACCAGAGGCGCTAAGCTTACATATAGCCAAAATCTCAAAATGGAGGAAAATTCTCCTCCAGTGACTGATCTGAGTGGAAGCACATGCTGCTCTCACCAAAATACTAATGCAATTCCAGGACATGAGGTATCATGGAATAAGCCTTCTCCTGCAGAAATTAAGCATGTCACTGGCCTCCAGTGTTACAACACCCTAAGGAGAAAGTTCTCATAACCAGGGATTTGAAGTTGCTATCCTGTTGTTAAGCATGCTATTTAAATGCATTGATTTTGGAAGTCATACAGCAGATTCCAGCTCCTTGTTTCAGTCTTGTAAAAAGCTGGACAGTTTGACTGAGTAATAAATTTTAATATTAGGTTTTTTCCCCAGTAGTGCTGCACAGCAAATTCAACCAAAATATATTTAATGGAAAAGATGTAGCTAAAGGACACAGTTTTCCTAGCACTCAGCCAAAACAGATGCAGACAGGAATTAGTGTCCATTTAAAAAAAAGGCAGTTTCTGTCCTCTCAGTGCCTGCTGCGCAGCACCTGAGCAAAGCATCAGTGGTGAGATCACGCGGGTGGCTGAGACCTAAACCAGGCAGAAGCACAGCATTGATGTGAGAAGCACAATGATCTTCCAAAAGCTTCCCACTAACCTCACCTCTTGAAACCTGACCTTGTAGCTTTCTTACAGCAAGGAGGGTTTCCCTTTGCTTTTCATCAGCTTGCTTTACCTGGTGGCTGCACAGCCCCTGGCAGTCTCTTTTTGTTTGTTTGATCCTTCTGACGTCTCATCAGCAGCAATATGAGCACCATTAGGCAGACTGGGCTACCAGAGACACCAGCCGACCTGCCCGGCTAGAACCGACTAATCCTTAATTAATAACGCCTTCTTTTAACCACACTTGCTCTGTAAAACTATACGAGGAATGAAAAGCCAAGGGGAAAGATCTGCTGAATAAGACAGTGCCATTGTTATGAATTGCATTCTAAATGTAATTTCGGGCCAAGCATGAACAAGGTCTCTGAATGACAGGCATGGTTTATTGTACCTAGAATTGCCCCATTTGTGTCTTTTTTTCTGCTCGTATTTGAAGTTATGTCTGTTTAATACCTTGCTGAACTATAATTTAAAGCAGCTGGAAGAGTAGGATTAAGAAATATATGAGAACACCGAGATCTCTGCATGAATAGATGAGGTGCCTTCTTGGTCTTTTTTTTTTTTTCTCCCCCACTTTATCTTGTAAATGTTGGCTAATTCCTTTCTCTCTTAAATTAAGCCCCTCTGGACTACACCAGAAGAGCAGTTGCTTGGTGCAAGCAGCTCTTCTAATAACCTCCTTCGCCCATGTAAGAAGCTGGTGCACAAACGTGGAGGGATGGGTCAACCTCTTCCTCACTTTCTGTTCTGAAAGGTCATGCACCTTCACTCCATGGTTTTACAACAAAAGCTCTCTTTCATCCCAGAGTCGGCTGCATTTCAGCCATCTCCAGAGCAAAAGGTTAAACTCTTCTAAGTATTCTGGGATAAACGTTATTACATACATTATAGGTGCCTCACATTGCTAATTATTACTGCTACTAACTTTGTTGCTCACAACTACTAACCTTATTGCTCACAACATCTGTGCAGTTCTGAAGATGCCCGTGTTAATCAGTGACACCCCGAATTCTCAGCCAAGACCGTGATCACAGCATTCAAGCCTACGCTGAAGTGCCATTTAAACTCTTGGAAATTGGGTATACACTGAAGCGCTTTATTTCTCAAACAGTGCCCTCGACACTAGTCTGCCTATGGACAGAGCCAAGCTGCAGCATAAATCCTGTAGAGGGAAGTCTTTGTTAATTGGCTTTGTAATTTGTATTTGGCTGCCTTATAAAATGATTAAGCGCTCACTGTGCCTGGTACCACAAAGCATACATACCAGAGCAGCAGGAGAGCAGCTGAGATGTATTTTAAAGGCTGGAAGAGTATATCCACTTAAATCCACTTGCCACGACATTCCCAAGTCAAAGCTGCTTAGGCAGGGTTTATTTCTTACAGCCACGAGCACCTTGGGTGAACTTTGCAAGGCGATGCCCATGCACTCGTTCACACGTCGCGTGGCCTTGAACCAATTCACAGTGAAGGCAAAGTAACTTTGTCTACAATACCACCAGGCAACAGAGCTCCGAGACAAGCTAGGCTTTTCCAGTGGGATGCTGCACAACAAGAGTGCTTGAGGAAAAGCTGAAACCCCTCCTTTAAGGAGTTCTGAAATGATGAGGGCTGCAACGTGCTACAGATACAACCTACGGATGGGCTGGTTTCCAGTGCTGAGCAGAGCCCTCTTTTCAGGCACTGCTTCTGCCTGATGACAAAATGATGCTTCCTTCTAATTAATAAAGAGTGTGCTTTTCAGTTCAGCTGTGGTAAATCAGGAGGGCTTTCCCCGCAGCTAATGAGCAGGTGTAAATGAAAGGTTACTCTAGCTTCAGATTAAAATCAGAAAGGTTTGTTCATGTTTCCCACCGCTGCCCCGCTCCACGCTGACCAAGCAGGTAAGATAACCCTCTGTGCTTCACAACAACCCCTGCCAGCGACCCTGGAGCCACCAGCTCCCTCGTGCTGGCCACCACCTGCACCTCTCAGGACCCTGATGTGAGCACAAGAGCCCACACAGCTGTCCTGCAAGGACAAGCAAAGCCCACAGAAGCTGATAATGTTTGATCATGCTAAAATAATGCTTTTAGGCAAAGCTAAAGAGGACTGAGTGAAGAGTCACTCTCCTCCTTTGGGGCTATTACTGCACTGAAAGGCACCTGGCACAGCCCAGGTGAGCTACTGCAGATTTCAGGCGTGCTCTGGTGCTCCGGGAAGGGATTCCCCAAACTTGGGCTGCAATCAGGTGCCAGGTCTGCAGGAGGGACTCAACTGTCGCAGTGTAGATAATAAGGAAAATAATTAACAGAGCAGGGTCCTTTGGGCAATGCGAAACAAGGCCCAGATTTATGCATGTGACAAACCTCGTGCTGCCTCCCGGTACTCCTGGGAGCTGAGTCCTGGGGCTGAACCATGGGCAGGGAGCCAGCAGCTCCTGTCAGCTCTTCCCATCTTTGCTCCTGGAGGCCTCAGATGTACTTTGTGCTTGCACAGTACACGACAAACACATCTTAGTCATGCTTCAGGACTCCCTGCGAGCTGGTTAGTCTCATTCCCCCCTTATACTAATGGAGAAAATGAGCCAGAGAAAGGTGAAGTGACCTTCTCCAAAGAACACAGCACGGCAGCGAT